TCCATTATATGGAAGCGCCCTAATGTCTTGAACTGGCCCGCCATGGGTGCTCACTGAGGTCGCAGTATTTTACCATTGCTCGTGGAGCCCCAGGAAACACGCACCTTCGAATCCTTGCTCCACACTGGAAAGAGTATCTGAGCTGCACTCTCCGATATCGTAGCCTCCAGCAACGTGTTACTATTTACGCTTCAGTGAACTGAAGAAAACTTAAAATTTGGCTCTTCAGTCATGCTGGCCACAGCTCAGTGCTCCCGAGCCCCCGGGGCTGCTGGCTTACGGGGCAGCTGTGGGGAGGCTCATTTCTGTGGCCCAGGGGGTTCTCTGGGACAGCAGCGCCCTGTAGGATAAATTCTGAGAGGGGATCCCTGCATCTGACATGGTGACAGACACTGCCGAGCCTCTTTCCCGCAGTCCGAGCTCAGGCACCTATGCATCTATGCAATGTGTGTGTGGAGGGGGTGGGGGAAGCAACGTCCCCTGGGTGCTGTTTGCAAGGATGTTCTGTTCCTGTTGTTGGTGACCAGTTGAACCCTGCTGTCCCTAGCTTCCAGGGGGCACGCCTGTCACTGGGAGTCTCCCCACTGAGGCCTGACTTCCTTTGCCTGTGCTGAGGGCTGCCTCTTCCCAGATCCAAGCCACCTCCCTCTCCTCCCTGAGGTCAGGGCACCTCCCCACCCTGAGTCCCGGCCCTGCCACGTCTCAGGGGACAGTGCTGGTGTCCTGGCACGTTCCCTGTCACCATGACACAGCCTTTACTGGAAGGAAGACTCGCGCGGTCTCTTTCCTCCCCTCCCACTCTCTCCCAGTCGCTCTCCCGTTGGCGGGTGGTGACCTCTGTGTTGCCAAGTGCAGGTGGCCTTGCCGGGTCCTCATCTGGCTAGAGCTCTCAGCCACAGCCTACACTCTGTGTCTCGACTTCGAAGACACCACCTGCTGCCTCTCTGATCACTCTGTCCCCACCTTGTTTGCAGCCTTGTCTTCCTCTGGCATTTGTAACTCAGCCTCTCCTTTTCCTGGGCAGTCTTACCCCTACAGTGGCTTTAATTGGCATCATTTGGGGAATGATGGTCATGCATTTTAATTCCCGTTTCTTGGTTACTAGTGAGATTGAGCATCTTTTTTTCTTTTTTTAGAAGATTTTATTTATTTGACAGAGAGAGAGGGTGAGACGAAGAGTGAGAGCACAGGCAGGCAGAGCAGCAGGCAGAGGGAGAGGGAGAAGCAGGCTCCCCCCTGAGCAGAGAGTCTGATGTAGTGCTGGATCCCAGGACTCTGGGATCACCCGAACTGAAGACAGAAGCTTAACTGACTGAGCACCCCAAGACCGAGCATGTTTTCATGGTTTCTGATCTTTGTATTCCTTATAAAAGCAGGTTAGAAGCAGAACAGGTTCCTGTGTAGGCCAGGGACCTAGGTTCCTGGGCAGACTGGAGCTATGGCAGGTCCCTGTCCCCACCCCCTCCAGGCACAACTGGGCCCTTCTGTGTGCACCCCCTTTTGCATCAGGCAGCCCTGCCCCAGCCTGTGTCCACCCCAGGATTCTAGCTACCCGCCCTGGCCCCTAGAGCTCGGTTCACCCAACTCTGCACCACACACGTGCAGCGGCCACGGGTGGGAATCACGCCATCCTTGTCTCTCGGCCACTCTGCTTTGCTTGGGGACCTTTGACCTCACATCCTTCTTCTCTGTCCCCTTTCCTGACTTCCCTTTGCAGCTTCAGCAGTAAGACTGACAGCTTTCTTTTCCCCAGCTCACGGTTTCTTGCCTTAAACCTCTGGGATTCTTATTCCCACTTGGTTTTAGATGCCTACATGCCTCACTTCATCGCCTGTAAAGGAGTGAGCTTGAAAGTCCCTAACGCTCCCGTCCCTTCTTGTCTAGAAACTTCTGCACACCCACTTCCCCTTCTCCACATCTGCTGAACCTGCTCTTTATCCTTGGTGTTTGACTCCTTCCTGTTCTCTCACCCTTCGGTTAGCTTTTCTTTCCATTTGTCTCCCTGTCTGGTCTGAACCCAGGACCCTCCATGCCAACCAAGCCATACCCTGTAAGCCAATAACCCCTCCCTGCTTCACCTGGGCGTGTTGCTTCGCCAGCTTCCAAGCCTAAGGACGCCCGCAGATCCAGTTGCTTCTTTTGCCTGCCACCTCCTCCAGAAAGCCTTCCCAGCATCCCTTAAGCTGAGGGGGCCATTCGTGCTTCTTTCCTGGAACTTCTAATTCGGCCCCATGTCTGTCCAGCTTCCTCAGACTGTGAGCTGCATACAGGACAGTCAAGCAGTGCCTGACCTGTTTGTGCAAAATAACCTGTTTGCTTAATTTGGTTGAGTGGACAATTTCTGCCTTGGTGGTGACTGCTCTCCATCACTTGGCACGGATACTACTCAGATCTAAAAAGCAATGTGTCTAGCCAGTACAGGAAGAAAGGAATTGAGAGAAAGGATAAAGGAGCCCAGGGGGAAGGGATATATGCATTTTTTTGGAATGGACATGTCAGAGCGCGGTCGCAGGTAGAGGCGACTGGAGAAGGGCTTCCCCTTACGTGCAGTGGTACGTGCATCCAGGGACTCTAGTGGTAAGCAGGCTTATTTTGGTGGTGACGGTACCTCTCGGGTCGGGTGACGACCTTGGCTCAAAGAAGGGAAAATACTGCATCTGTGCGGAAAGGAGAGAAGCCGTATTTGTCCTTTGGCTACGTAGAGGCTTCTCTGATGTAGCCAGTCCTGGGCCACCAGCTCCGAGCCTGTGGGAGTAAAGCTGCACATGTACTCGTGGAAATAATCCGAGGCCCGGGTGCCGGGGAGGGAGGGAGGGAGGGATGTATTACGCAAGCTGATGCCAACACTCTGTGCAAACTCGGGCTCCCCTGCCCAGCTCTGCCTCTTCATTGCCCTCTTCTCTGCCCGGGGCAGGTGCAAGCACATGGCCCTGTGTTCTCAAGGCTGCGAGGAGGGGAGGGTCTGTGGCAGCAGGGGGCAGGGTGGCCAGCATTTTAAGTCAGTGATGACTGCCTTAGTGGGTCAGGGGCCGGCGAATGTACCTCAGTTTTCCCTGGGACGGACTAAGACCTAATGAAGGAGAGGCACTAGTTTCAGAGCGCCCCGGCCTCACTGGCCGCTCGGAGCCTGGACGTGGCACCAAGAGTTCACCATAAGGCAGTGTGTGTTCTCCAGCACCTCGACCGTGGGCGCTGGCGGAGGTGCCAGCCGTCTGCTTCTGGGCCTGAGACCGTTGATCTTGTGTGGCTCCCAGAGTCCTGTCCGTGCTTGAGCATTCCCTTCTGTTTCAAAGCCCTCCTGTAAATTAAAGAACATTTTCTGACACTACAGTGTATGGAGGGTTTCCGGAATGACAGAGGCCACCATTCTGTGGCCTGGGAGGCTCACCCTCCAGGACCACACCAGCCTGCTCCCCTCCCTTCTGGCTTCTGGGTTCGGCCACCGGGACACCTGCAGGTGACTGGAGGGTGGGAACAGTCAGGGCATTTCCCTCCTTTCTCAGCCAGGCCAGGGTTTGGCCTCGTGGCCCAGTTCTGGGAACTGTTCCTGCTCCTGTAGGGGGTTCTAGAGGGGATGGCTTCCTGCTCTGGCTAGTCCTCGAGTGCTCTGTTCATTCTTTCAACCCTGCTCACACCTCTGTAGAGAAAACATCATTAACCTTCTCCACCTTTGGAATCATCTTGCTTGGGTCCTGCCTGATAAAACTCTCCCACTGTTCCCTGTTGACCCCATAAAGGCTAAACCAGACCAAATCATGAAGTGGTTCTCGGGAGCCGTGTGAGCTCCTGTGTTTTCATGAATCATGTTTACAGGTTAGTTTGGTGCTGAGACAGCGGAACTCCTTCCAGCAATGGCCTTAACCTGACAGGCTGGGTTTTAGTCAAGGGTCACAAGTGAACCTTCATAGGTCCTGCCGAGGATGGGAGAGACGGCAGTAGGGAGACATTTCCCTTTCAAGTTCATGCCCAAGTTGTGGTCTTTCCCCGCTCCAACCCTGCATAACCCAGCTGCTTTCCTGTCTAAAAGGGCACCTGTGGATGAAGTCCTTGGAGTCTAGGCCAATCGCACTGCCCAGCTGGCTGGGCCCAGATGTGGACCGCCGGCCTCTCGGCTCACCTGGCCTGTCCCTGCTCACGTGGGAGGAAGGGCGCTCCTGTGGATGCGCCTGCTCCTTCCTTCCTGTGATGCTCTCAGTTCTGGCCCTTTCTACCCAAGGAGGCGGGGTCTCTCCTGTCAGGTCTCCAGAACCCTTGCCTTCGGTTCCTGTGTGGTGTCCAGGGAGCTCAGAGGCAGTGAGCGAGCAGCTAGTCCTGCCTGGGGCTCCCAGGCTGAGCCCACCTGTGTCCCCACCATCCCGGCTCCACACCAACTACTGCTCCTGCCCATCCCTCCATCCAGCCAATTTCAAGAGAATCCTGTCTTACTCCCCTCTTCATGCCCCCTTCAGGGTCCCTGGATCTCAGGTGCGGGGACTGCTCCAGTCCCCCAGCACAGGGGAAGAGGTCACCGTGAGGAAGCTCAGGCAGTCCTCCCACACCGCTGGCACAAACTTTAAATATGCCCACTAATGCTGGAATTCCCACTACCAGAGCACTCCAGAGGGAGGAGGCAAGAAGCTCTCCATTTGGGGCCCGAAAGGAAACACCTGGGAGCAGGGAGGAGGCTGTTGGGTAAGCAGCGGCTCGTGTGTACATTCCCCCCTCTGCCTGGGGCCTCACAGCTCCGTTCACAGTCACCTCACTCTCAGAAGTCAGCGGGGATTACTGTCCGCAACTCAGCAGGCAGAAACCTCACAGGTGACTACAGGTGGTAGAAAGCATTTTATTTCTGCAGAGCAGAGACAGCGTTTACTGGTTGCGGAGTCTGGGCTGCAGCTGCCCTGGGGGTCCTCTCGAGTCCCTTCCGGGCACCGGTCTCCAGTTGAAGGAACAAGCAAGGCCACCGTGAGAAGGGGCAAAGCTCCCCCTTGCTCCCTGAGGGTTCTCCAGCGAGCCCGGCTCCAGAGAGAGCTCCGCCATGACGTCCAGCTGGAGATGGGACTTGAGGACAGTTCAGGGACAGGCTTCCTTTCCATCACAGCCTCCGAGCCTTCCTGGGGCGGCAGCCGTTGTGTGGGATGGGAGTGTTGTCTGTGATTGAGATCACTTCCAGGCCCCCCATGGTGAGTCCCTTGATGGCAGACTGCAAGGAGAAGGAAGAGCAGAATGCCATGGTCCCAGACACTATGACCCACCACATGCAGGCAGCGCTTGGAGGGATGGGGCGAGGGCTCTGCTCCCTACGGTCCTGTCTTCTCTCCCCACGGACTCCCAACCAAACCCCTTCACTGTGTCCTAGCGGCTGTCCCTTTCTCCAGGAGCACCTGTCACTTCCTACCTTGTGCTTTATGATCTGAAAACTGGGACCACCTGTAAACCCCAACACACCTTAAGCATTACCCTTTGTAATGTCCTCTGCCTGGAATGTCCCCTCCCTCCATGCACACCTAGCTAATGCCTTGCTGTTCTTGCAAAATCGGTACGGATGTCACCTCTTTGAGGATATACCCAGTGGGCTCCCAGCACCCTGGGCACGAGCTTTACCAGCTGGACCCACTGGTCTGTACTGGGGTACCCACTGTGATAGCCCCACGGAGCACCTTCCCATGCCCAGTGCCTGGCACGCAGCAGGCACGCCGTAAGCATCTGATGAATTAGACTCGGTGACCTGGGCTTGCTTCTGAGAAGCTCAGTGGATTAGAAGACCAGAGAGAAACTCAAGCAGTCCTGGAATTCGAGGAGAGGGTTCTTCCGCTCTCCTGACTCTATGCTCAAGCCCCGTTTCTCTCACTAAGGAAGTGCGCATGCTGCAGAGCCTGCCGGCCACTTACCAAGCGCCCTGGGCCCAGGCCCTTCACCACCACTCGGACGTGTGTCACGCCCTTGCCTGCAGCTTTCTGGAGAGGAGGAGCAAATGGTTAGTGCTGGGGGGAAAGGGCACCCACATACGTAACCAGGCAGCAAACAGGGAAGGCAGCAAAGGACAGATGATCGCGGTGCAGGGCAGACACCAGCAGAGCACGGAATGGGAACGTGTCCAACTCTAGATTTACAGCCGCGTGTGTCCCCCGTTAACCCAGGGCAGCACTGCCACCTGATGGAGATACCTGAACATCGCTCACATTTTTCTCAGTAAAGGCGGAATTTTAAGGCCTCCCTTAAACAACCCACTTAAAAAGCGTTACCACTTTCAATTATTGACAATTTTAAGTGTTATCATGTCAAATTTTCTTTCTTGATTATAAAAGCAGTTCATTACAGAAAGTCTGGAAAACACACAGAAGCCAGTGTTAAGACTGACGTTTTAAGTGTACACAATCGTACTATATTTTGATGATCATTAACATAGAGCAAATAATACTTTGGGGCATCGGGCTTTGTTTGAAGGCCAAGGTTTTCCTTCAGGAAGTACTTCCGGTTTGGCAGAGCAGAGCCTCCGTAAGGCGGGCTGCATGGCAGACCGTACATAGGCCAGGACCCCAGACTAATGACTCAAAGCAAGTCTCCCTCTGGACCTTCCCTGGCTCTCAAAGACATGCGTAATACCGAGCGTCTTGAGGATTTAAGGTAATGAACGTAAACTGTCTGGCGTACAGCAGATGATCAATAAATATACTAAAAGGAGCATACTGCCAATTTGCTTCTAGAAAGGTCTGAACAGCTCACAGTGAAATCGGTATTGCATGAGAGAAAGAGAGAGACAGACCTCTTCAGACTGCACAAGGTTGGAGTAGCGAACAGGAGCGGTCAGACACCACTGCTTCTGAACGACGTCGAGGAGAATCTTCCTCACGGCGATGAGCCAGGCAGAAAACAGGACACACCACAGAGGGAGCCAGAAAGAACACAGACTTACCACCGCGGCAGCTATGCCTGCTGTTTGTGCGGCGATGCCCGTGGCCTTCTTGGCATTCCGGAATCCCTCTGTGCCACAGGAAGTGCGGGCGAGGGGCTGGTGAGCGGCGGAGACCACCTGGATCTGTGTGCTGGGGAGGCAGGGAGCGTGCAGGACATAATGACTGGTCAGGGCAGTTAGAGCACTAAGCCAGGCCCTCGTAAGCCCGAGTGAGAAAGATAAAGGCCCTCGGCTGCCTTCCCTTTAAGCTTCTCTGATGAATGCCTTTTGAGCTCTTACAGGAGGTGTCAGGAAAGGTCAGAATCACCCCCTAAGCCTCATCAAAAACAGACTCGTCATATGATCTGAGGACCGCTCCGTTATGGACTGCATGCTTGTGCCCCCCAAAAGTCATGTCACTGGGAGATGAGTAGGTTGACGGGGCTGATGGGGCCCCAGAGAGCTCCCTCGCCCCTTCTATCATGAGAGGACACAATGTGGAGCCGGTCCCCTGAAACTCAGAGGAATTCTCACCAGAACCCCCAACGCTGGCTCCTTGCGCCCAGCTTCCAGAACTGTGAGGAATCTATGTCCGTTGTTTAAGCCCCTGTTTGTGGTATTTTGTTTTAGGGGTCTGAGCTAGGACAAGCTGCAGAATCCGGAGTGGTTAAATGTCACCCAGAAGAAGGCTGGCATATTTCCCTCCTAGTGTCTTCCCTGTGGCTGGTGTTTAAATTAGATTTGATACCCGTGTCGGGCTTTTTTTCCTAAGAAGTTAGATGTTTCATATCAGGTCATTTAAAAAAATAAGGCTTTCATTAGACAAAGTTTCAAATATACCCAAGAATAAACAGAAGAGGATATGAACAACCATGGACCGACCCATCACCCAGCTTCAGGAATCATTAGCTCCGATCCAATTTAGTCTCATCTATGAACTCTGTTTCCACTCCCTTCTTCCCCAACAATGGGTTGTTTTGAAGCAAATCCCAGACCCATCATTTCATCAGGAAATATTTCAGTATACATTTCTAAAAGATGAGGACTTAAAAAATCAAAAAGCTTTTTTTAAGTGAAACTTTTCTAGTCATCCCCAACTGACTTCAAGAAATACTTAGATATGTTCCTCATTTCCCCTTGGCCAATGTCTCTCTATCTTCTGGTCTAGGAGCTCCCTGTGGACTCCCGGTAAAGAGGGAGGTGGAGAAGCAGCTCCGGGGAGGCCAGTGGGTGGTCCCGGGTCCAGACCATCGGCTTATTGGCCTGGCTACTGCTGTCCTTTCCCCCTGGCAGGGCTCCCAGGTTTTCTGTGCTGAAAAAAGCACATGAGAACTGCTTTTCCCCGACACAACTTCAATAGAGACATGTGGGGTGGGCCATCGGCGCTTATACAGAGCGCGCTACCCTGTGTCCTTATCAGCCTGAGAAGGGAAGAAAAAGAAACCCAATTTCTCTCATTTCGAGCTTATCACATAAATGCTGGACAAATCCTACGGCATCTCAGCTGTGCACACGCCATCCCCGACCCACAGTCCCCTGTACGGTTCTCTGAATCGCTTCCTGGGCAGGCTGAGCCCAGCTCGCAGTGGGGGCCAATCTGCAAAGTTGTCCCTGCGGTCAGCAAGGTTTCTGTTGCCAACACGCAGCTGGGAAGGCCCCGACACTCATCTGGAAGTCACACGTTAAATCACGACTCTGTTAGCCCTTCGAGGTTGGAGGTCAGGGCACAGTTGCCCAAAGTCGCTTCCAAGGAACAATACTTACCTGCAGATTTACGTTTTGGTGAGTTTGTCAGTAAATCATAGACTCTGAAGCCACCTGTCTCACGTATATCTCACCCATCCTCTGTTCCCCAGTATCCATAACACTTAACACACACATCCTAATAACCGCTCTCTCCGACTTCAGAGAACCAGGAAATACTAGTCCTAAGGCAGGCTGAGAAAGCTTAACACTAGGATCTGTCCAACCTAGTTCATGTTTTCATGAAATCTAAAGAAATTTTATAAAGGCAGAGGTGGCTTCCCAAAGTAAGGGGGAGGGGCGCTGGGGGACCCCTAGACCCCCTGGGCTTGCCCTCCCCCACGAAGGGGAAAGAAGCCCCCCGAAACCTTCCCAGGTGCTCCTTCCTCTTACTTGTTGTAGGATGCTTTGATGTGTGCGATTGGGATCTCCTCGAATTTCTTCCCTGCCCACCTCAGAGGGCTCTCCTGTCCTGGAACTGGAGGGTAAATGCTGTAATTAAAGAAACACTTTAGGTAAATCCCGATTTTTTTTTAAGTCAGTGAAAACCAACAGCCCTGGACCCCGGACCTGCTCCTGGGGTAGCTGTCCCCAGTCCATCTGGTGCTACTACTATTCCCACGAACACTGGGCTGAGGCAGTCTTTCCTCGAGTGTCGACTATGGACACACCTAGTGACTTTCTGCTAGGAGAAAAAGAGCATTTAATCCACCCTCCCTACCTTCCTGTGTCCCTTCTGGGACATTCAGATCACTGTTTTCAATTCTTTATGGGCCACTCTTTCTGCGACTAAAAAAATACAAAAATAAAGTCAAACCTCTATTTCTGGTTTCAAATTTTCTTTTTTTTTTTTATTTATTTATTTGATAGAGATCACAAGCAGGCAGAGAGACAGGCAGAGAGAGAGGAAGGGAAGCAGGCTCCCGGCCAAGCAGAGAGCCTGATGCGGGGCTCGATCCCAGGACCCTGGGACCATGACCTGAGCCGAAGGCAGAGGCTTTAACCCACTGAGCCACCCAGGCGCCCCTCTATTTCTGGTTTCAGATGATAGCTTGACTATTTTATAAAAAAGGACAAAATAATTTTAATAATATTTGTAGTATCATTACTATAAAAAAAAAAATCCAGTATCCCCCATGATAGAAGTCAGCAAGCCTTTTCTGTAAAGGGCCAGATAGTAAATACTTTAGGGTTTGCTGGCCACGGAGTCTTTGTTGCAACTAGGCAGTTTGGCCTCAAGTGCAAAGACAGCCACAGACAACAGTAAATTAATGGGTGTGACTATTTTGACTATGTTCCAGTAAAACGGTATTTACAAAAAAACAGGCACCTGGCCAGATTTGGGTAGGGACCCAGTTAGCCAATCTCTATCCTAGACCAGTAGCATTCCGTGCTGGCTGATTGGCAGAATCTCGTGGTTCTGATGCTCAATCCCGATGCCTCACTTCTGGATGGGGCCCGAGAATCTATTCCTAAAATATCCCCAGTGAACCAGATGCGAACCCAGGGTTGAGAACACTGATCTAGACATTATGTTGAGTTCAAGATCTTTCTCTGTCTCGGTCTAATCTGTCCCCTGGCTACCTCTAGGTCAGTACTCTAGGTCAGTGTGCAGGTGGAAAAACTGAGGCACAAATAGAAGAACAGGGTCAGCAAGGGAAGCCAGACTTTGTGCCTAGGAGACCTGCCTTAGTTCAAAGCCCAGTCCGCCACGCTGTGCTTCCTTATACTCAAACACAGGGTTGTCCTTCAACATTCCAGAAACGAGTAAGCCTGCTGTCGCGTCCTGCCTATATGCATGGACCAGACCTGTGTTTGTACCTCCCCACGCCTCCTGAAATTCAACAGACTGCGGTTCAGAAAATATTATAAGAGCGCTATCCTTGGTGCTGAGCCTCACCTGCTTTCCTAGAGAACATTTTTCAAAAACAAAACAGAAAATAACCAAATGGTCTTTAAGAGTTACAAGCGTGTTCCTCCTTGGTAGGCCTGATGTAGAGATGACTGGGCCCTGAGCAGGCTGCTGGCTTTTCAACCTACAAGCCAAGATGGAAAGCGGCTGAGGCTCTGAGGACATCAATTCCCCATGAATCATTTCCCTCCTGATTCAGGGGGTCTGAGAACTAAGCCTACTAAAGTCTGACCATACTTTATCATGCCTTCATATACAGCAAGGGTTTTGAACTCGGGATGATTTGGAACTTGAACCACTTAATTGAAGGCATGGACAAGATCAGGCCTCGAAACCGAGCAGGTTCAAGTACAAATGACCGAGTGGTTCCCCCAGGGTAAGCCCAGACAAAGGAAAGACAAAGCCGTGGGGGTCTGCTGCCTTTTCATACCCGTGCTCACAGTCGGGAAAACGGAAGGGCTGAGCACTGAAAACAGTCTCTGCTCTCTGCTGCTGAAGGGCTGGAAGGGAAGGCTGATTTCCACCGCAAGCAGCTCAAGCACGGGAGGGAGGGCGACCACCCCAAACAGCCCCTGACCGTGCGCCAGATGCTGGGACCTGGGCCGGGTCTGCTATAGTTCCACTCCCAGATAAAGAAAGCCTGGCCGCACAGTCTGCAACCCACTTTCTAATTGTGGCTAGAGACGATTGTTTAACAATGCAAATAAATGTAGAAAAATGCAGCGATGAGAGCTCCTGGCTCACAACTCCTGGCATAATTATACGTGTGGCTTCCACAATATCCTTCCAACCGTATGGGCTCTGTTTCTTGACCTCCTTTTCTCCAGTGATCCTGTGTCCTCTATCCTGGCCTGCTACTTCCTCCTGTGGTCACACCTGGCCTTTGTCATTGCCAGGTCTGCAACCTCCTCATGACCTTGGTTTTAAGCAGCACACTCAGGCCACCTACCTTCAGGCACACCCATGCGACCCCTACTCCAGGAATCCTTCCCAGCCCACCGACCCTCCTGCTGGCTCACTTTCTCTCCCCACCCCCAGGCCCTCACTTCTCTCCTGGCCTCCAGTAAATTTGATCGCTCCCTTGCATACCCCCTCAGTCCTCTGCCTCCTCTTATTTCATCGTACCTTCCTGGCAAACACTAACCCTAGCTGAATCCATCCCTCAAGCCACGCCAAGCCTGGGCATGCTTCTATGCAGCGGCTAGAGAAATATCCACGCCAGTGTCGACTGGTCTCTCTACATATCATGGTTTCTCAACTTCAGCACTACTGACATGTTGGGCAAGAGAATTCTTGGTGGTGAGGGGCTGGCCTGTGCCTTATAGGGTGTTCAGCAGCATTCTTGGCCTCTACCCACTAGTTGTCCCTCCACTGCCCTGCATGGTAACAACCAAAAATGCCTGCAGAACTTGCTAGAAGTCCTCTCGGAGGCCAAACTGCCCCAACTGAGAACTACTGCTTTATTTTAATGACTTCTGACATCAAGTGGGCCCTCAGCACTGTACGCATGTCCCCAATTCAATCATCCTTCCAGTCTCCTGGATGACTACTTTATGCCTTCCTTTGTCTCCTGAAGCCTCTACCTCCTTCCTGTCTCCTCACAGCCAGCTGATGACCTCCGCAGAGAAATACAAGCAATCAGAGTTTCTCCCAGCTTCCACTACCAAACATCTGTGCCCACAATCTTTGCCTTCTCTCCTCTTGTGATGCTCCACCTGCGTTTGCCTCTCAAGGACATCACTCCAGCGATGTTTCCACCCCGTATCATTCCCATCAGCAAAACATGCCCTCAATTCCCCAACCTAAAAACAAACAAAACCCTCTTTATCTCAAAGCCTCCCTGAGCTATTGCCCATTTCTCTACTCCCTCTCAAAGAACTGACTACACTTGATGTTTCTTTCTGTCTTCTATTCTCCTTGAACCCACCCCAATCAGACTTTAGCCCTATTATTCTGCCAGAAATGCTCTAGGCAAGGTCATCAACCAACTCACAATGTTAAATCCAATGAGCAGTTCCATCATCAGCCCGATAACTTCTCATAAAACATCTGACACAGCTGATCTCTCCAGCCTTGAACTACATTAAAAAAAAAAAAAATCCCTCTCGGTTTTCTTACTCTTAAGAATTTCCTTCTTTGTCTCTTTTGATGATTTCCCCCCATCTCCTAAATTTCTAAATGTTAGACGGTTCTAGGGTTCAGTCCTTGGACCGCTCCTCTTGATCTATACTTACTGTCTCGATGATCTTGTACAGTCTTGTGGTTTTAAGCATCATCTGTATGATGAATCAAATGTGTGTCTCTAGCCCCAATCAGTCCCCTGAACCCCATTTCCAAAAGCCGATACTGTACCTCCACTGGATGTTAACTGAGCAAAGCCAAGTTCCTGCAGCCTCCCCCATTTTAGGAAATGACTCCACCTTTCCAGCTGCTTAGGCCAAAAATTTTAGCGCTCCTTCCTTCCTCTCCTTTTCTCACACCTTACACGAACACATCCTGTTGGTCCCACTTTCTGTATGTCCTACGCAGAAAGCTGTCATCCTGGTCCAGGCCACCATCATTTCCTGCCTGGTTGTTTCAAAAATCTAACTGCTTAGAAGATGTCTCCCAGCTTCCATCCTTCCTTCTCTGCACTGTGATATCGACACAGCAGCCAAAGGGACTCTTTAAAATGAAGCAACATCATTTCAAGTCTCTATTCAAAATTCTCCAACGGCTGTCCATCTCACCTAGAATCAAAGCTGGAGTCCTCACGAGGTCCTACGAGCCGGAACAGATGCAGCCGCAGGTATCGGCTGCACGACTCATCCCCATCCCTTGCTGCACTCCTCACTCCACGCTGACCTTGCTATTCCTCCCAAACACTAGACATACACACTCTCACCATCTGTCATACCCTCAGGTTTTACATGTTTTCTCTTCACTGCCCCCAACCACTAGACTTTAAGTTCTACAGGGGCAGGGTTTTGGGGGTGTATGGTCACTGATGTGTCCCTAATGCCTTAAACAGTGCCTGACATTGTTGAATGACCCCAACAGGATCTTGGCTTGAATTGTTTCAGCAGCTCCCCACGGTCTATAGTGGGAAGAGTCTGAAAGCTGCACTGTTACAGGTAAGACCCTCAGCCTTCCAATTCCTTCTTTTGCTGGCCTCATCTGCCATCAGGCACACACCTGAATATACCATGTGCTTTCACAGTGCATGCCTTTACACAGAATATTAGCTTTGCCTAAAATTATCCCTTTCATGTTGTCCAGCTTAACTCCCATTCAATTCAGTTCTTAGCTCCACATTATCTTCCTGGCAGTCTTGTCTGACTTCCTCAGGAGTGAGACACTCATTCCTTCATACTTCCTAGCAACCAGTTCTTACTCCAGCACACTTCCGACCAGATTATGCCGAAAATGCTTGCATGACTGTCTTCCTCTGTAGCCTGTGACCTACTGGTGGGGAAAGAATGATCTTTTGTATTTGTACTCCCAGCACAGTACCTGGCACCAAACAGGTTTTCAGTAAACATTTGTTGAGTGGATGCGAATGAACATAGGGGTAGCAGCACTGATGGAAAGCAAGGGACCCGTCCCCAGGGGTGAGCACCAAAACCACGCCCCAACTCAATAATCTACACCGCGGTGTAGCACCCCCTGCTCCCCCAACTCCCATTTTATATCCAAGGCGCAGGGAAGGTTGTTGGTCTGCCATGACACCCCTCTCAGAGGGAAAAAGGTGACATTTACTATACACCTCCGACATTAACTCATTATTTCATCTAACTGTTCACAGAGCGCCCACTTTGTGCCAAGGCTCATCTCATTGGATCCTCGCAAACTCTCTCGGCATCCTCTCCATTTGTAGATGAGAAAGCCGGGGCTCAGAGGTTAATCTGCATTAGGGTCCCAAAGACGTCAAGTGGCAGAGTTGGGAATTCACTGGTTGTCGGGCTCCGGACGGCGGTGCCGGTATCCAGAGGGCTGGGCTTAAGAGGCCCTCACCTGAAGCTGCTGCGGCTCGAAAGCGGAGCCGCCGCCGCCGCCTTCTCCTCAACCTCCTGCTTGGCCGCCGCGTCTTGCAGCTGCTGGGCGCCGGTGTGGATGGTGGAGGCTGGCGCCCCGGCCACGACCCTGCGGGGAGGGAAAGCTCGGTGAGGTCCAGGCGGCTCAGGGACACAGGCAGGAGCGCAGTCGCGGGGATGACCGTGCGTTCGGGGAGGGGCTGGTGATCATTCTTACCTGGGCGTCGGTGGCCAACCCCAAGACCGCAAGAGCCAAGACCCTGTCTTTCGTACCACCTGCATGACTTGGATTGACCCCCGTCAGCTTCCGTCCGCGGCGACCTCGGAGGTTGGCGCAGCTGAAGCGGCACCAGCACCTCGAGTGCTCGTGGGGGGGCGTACAAGGAAAATCATCTCATTCCTCTCCTTGAGATCCATTAAAGACTTTTTATTCCTATTCAAATGCTCTGCAATAGTTGTCGTTTCAAGTGCTAACTGGGAGTTTCTTTTCTTTCTTTTTTTTTTTAACTGGGAGTTTCTTCCCTTTCCCCTAAACTTCTTCGCCTTCCCCTCCATATTGGAGTGGTTCGTTCTGGTAGGTCCCGGGACAGAACTCTTCCGCCTGCCGCTCTCGCGCTGCCTTGTGGGAGCATGGGATTGGCCCAGGAACCCGCAGGTAGCCGCGGTACATTGTGGGAGAGCAGAAGAATGGCGGCGCCCATAAGGCAGTCTCTGTTTGGGGTGGCGAAGGGCTGGTGGCGGTTCGAGGGGCTCTGGGCCGGTAGCCTGGGTTCTCGCAGCCTAGCCCTTGCGGCTGCACCCTCGATCAGCGGGTCTCCATGGCGTCTTTTGGGCGCGGTGTGCCTGCAGCGGCCACCGCTGGTCTCGAAGCCGCTGACCCCATTGCAGGAAGAGATGGCGGCTCTATTACAGCAGGTAGGATTGAAGTGCGGCTAGCGGCTTCAAGGTGCTGTTGGGGAACCAAGAGGAGCACGTGGGCCAGGGTTCGATCCCGTCTCCGGCACCAGTCTCAGTGACCTTGAGCAAGTCACTTCACCTCTCTGAACTTCAGCGTACTCAACCTGCGCAACGGTATCTACCTTACTGGGTTGGTTTGGTACATAGGTGTTCAGTAAAAGTTTGTTTTCATTGGGATTTTTTGTTGTCACGCCAGGCAACTCTGTAGAGTTGCTTTTCTTTCTCACTGAGTATGGTAGGTATGCGGTGCTGAACAAGACGGCTTAGTTCCTATCGCAGGTAGTCTGAATGTCTGAAATTTATAGAGTCTGATGTGGTGTTTTAGGAGAATATAATGGGCACACATATAAGATGACTGTGATAAAGTTTGTGTGTGAGGGGCAAGTGAGGAAACGGGCAAATACTCAGTGTGGGGGCTTTGAGGGGCTTAAATCCCCACAGACGGTGATTGAAGGTTGTTTCCTTAGAATCTGAGATGTTTTTCGTGTTGGCTGCTGGGAGCTCTAAACTTCACTTCCTGGTTTTTACTTGGCTCATTAACTTATTCTGCAAATAGTTGATTAATCATTTTATAGGTAGTCATTTATCGCCTATTTTGTATAGACACTGTGCTAAGTGCTAGGGACCAGTAAGACAGATAAGCCTTTGGTTCTCAGAGTGTTCAGTCTAGGGGAGGTGGGCGGGTCAATACAGTCACATGACTGTATAACTGCAGACCCTGGTAAGTGTAATAAAGGAAGACACAGGGTACTATAAAAGATTTTAACCGGGACATCTAATTTGATTTTGTGGCTGGTGTCAAGAAATACCCTTCAAAGAATGTGGTATTTAAATTGAAATCTGAAGGATGCATAGCAATCTCCTAGGAGAAGAGCATGAAGGAAAACATTCTAGGAAGAGGGAACAGCATCTGTAAACTCCCTGAGGAGTTTGGTGAGATCAAGGGCTGACAGGGCTAGAGTGTGGTTAAGTGGGCAGGCGGCGCCCATCCTAGTTCTCTGTTCTTTGTAGCAGCTTGACCTCCAACCACATTCTAACATTTTAGCAAATGTAACTCGAGCCCAAAGTGCAGATGACTGTTTTTCTTTCTTTTTATTTTCCTGTGGTGTTTTAATTGTATGTCTGGTTATGCTGGGTGGTATGTCAAGTGTGCTATAGCTCTGTTTTCTATTCTTGCCTGTGTTTTGTTTTGTTTTTTTTGTCCTTTTAATTTTCTCAGATTGAAGTAGAGAGAAGTTTGTATTCAGACCATGAGCTTCGTGCTTTAGATGAAGCCCAGCAACTGGCAAAGAAGAAAGCGGACTTATATGATGAAGAAGGAGATGAACGGAATATACTGCTGGTGCAGGATTTGGAAGATGCATGGGAGCAGAAGTTCCTACAGTTCAAACCTGGAGCTCGTATAACAGGTTTGTGGTCAGTTTAGGCCAGCAAGAGAAAAGGAAAAGGGGGGCATTTTGGTTTTCAGACAGAGGACATTTGCTTAGCCCCTGCTTTGTATTTTAAGTGGCAAATGGTTGCAAAACTTCTTTCAGGTGGGAGAAAAAGAAAGTCTTTCCCCTGCTCCTCATTTCCAGCTGAATAGAATTTTTAAAGGCCGGTGTTATTTTTGAGTGGGAGGTAAGGGTGTTGGGATAACCTGTTCTTTCTCAGTTAAATTTCATGAATGTATCTGAGTTTACTTCCTAGTGTGGGGGTGAGAGTAGGGGGAAGCAAGCCTTTCCCACTAGTTTTCTGCGTGTCATCTGAAATCTCTCCCAAAGCAGAGGATTGAGTTCTCTTATCTCAGATGAAGACGGAAGAACAGAGAAAGTGGGGCCAAGTTAAGTCAGTAATAGTGTCAAAACGAGTGAAGTCGTAGTGTTTGAAGTAGTGTGGGTATAGCTTCTTTTCCAAAGGCTCAAAGTACCTACACAAGGTAGTGCTCTTCAAAGGAGAAGTTCAGCTTTTGGTTTTCTCTTCTTACATTGTAGTTTTCTTAAGATTGTGAGACTCTACCCTGAAAGAGGTCTGAATTAGAGAGATGGGTCAGGGTCGTAATTTGATTTTAAGATGGTAGAGGTTGTAGCTCTACCTTAAAGGAAGACTGTAAAACTGTGCTCCTTGGTTCTGGCAGATCACAGTGTTTTTGTCTTCTCTGGTCCCCTTTTCTTCATAGAAGCCGATAAAAAGAATGACCAAACTTCACTGAACCGGAAGCTAGATAGGAACCTTGTTCTGTTGGTCAAAGAGAAGCTTGGAGACCAGGATGTTTGGATGCTTCCCCAGGCAGAGTGGCAGCCCGGGGAGACCCTCCGGGGAACAGCGGAACGAACCCTGGCCACGCTCTCAGGTGAGTTCTCTGCCTTTCTCCGAACCTCACAAGACTCCTTTCACACTCAGCCGTGGAATTTGCAGACAGGCTTGTGATGATGGCTGGAAGGATTGGAGGTGGGTCGTTAATGGAACTTTGATATCTATAAAAATTTCACCTAGAAAAAATTTTAGGTCAGGTGGGAGTCTTTGTCCCACTGAGATTTTTAAATTTTCTTTTCTTTCTCTCTCTTTCTTTCTTTCTTTCTTTCTTTCTCTCTTTCTCTCTTTCTCTCTTTCTCTCTTTCTCTCTTTCTTTCTTTTTCTTTGTTTCTTTCTTATATAGCACATGGGTCTTATTGATGGTAGAAAAAATAATTCTTTCACTTATAAAAAATATGTGTTTTATTGAACTCTGTATTTTTTTCCCATCCTTTGTGTGGGTTGAGTCCCCCCCCCGCCCCTTAATCTACTTTTTCATTCACCAAGTAATAATATCCACCACAGCGGCTGCTGCTTCTGAAAGGAAAGCAGGAGGTCTGTCAACAGGTTTTGATCTGGAAGTTGTAGTCAGTGGCTTCTTTCTTCATGAAGACTCTGCTTGGTCTTAGTTCCAAGCTCGGGGAGGTTGGCGAAGCTGCTGGATTGGTTGAAGAGATCCTCTTGTTGGGTCTTTACCTCCTGTGCAGAACTAAAGAGTGTGGTTTTAGGTCCTTCCTCCTCCCGTGCCTCTCTTTGAGCAGGTCACTGCTGCTTAGGGGCCCTTCGTGGCTGCCTCACTGAGCAGCTGCTGTCGTACGTGAAGGATGGAGAGCTTCAGTTTCTGCTCAGTCAGCCGTGTCTTCCCGACAAAGTACAGAACTTTCACTTCCAGGTTTCCACAGTTTTGCATATTCCATAGGAATAGATGATTCTAGTTCCTTTTCGGGTTAATTGGGCCACATCTTCCCTTGAGCCCGTGATTGTAAGATATTTCATTGTCTTGGGTAGCCATCGCGGGTCCTGCTGACTCCATGGGTCCCACTTACCTTCCCGTTAGTGGCATTTCTGTCTCTGGCAGAACTAACCGTTCAGACAGGATTCCCAACCATCAGCATTTACAGTAAAATGTTTTTCAGTTTCTACACCACTGAAAGCTTCGTTATTTATTGTTCGTAAAAATGATCAAGATTTGCTGTTTGGTTTTATCTTTTCTCACGTTTTTGATTACTTTAATCTATGGATTACTTGAGGAAGTGGATTTTATTTCACCTCTGCATAGGATGGATCTTTTCCTGATCTGCTCTGCATAGAGTTACCCTTTTTAATTTTTTTAAAGCGACATACTGTACTGAGAACTTGAAAGTGTGTTTAGTTCTTTCATATATGGAATACGACCCGTCACTCCTGATTTCTTTTTAGCCCATACTTCAGGTGCTGAAGAAGTACTTGGTGTCTCAGAACATCTCTGTCTAGGTGATCCACTGCCTTCTCAAACCGATTTTGAGTTTTGAGTCTCTCTTTGAAAAGGAGGACATTTTTCATTTCTCGGCTGTCTGGTGTCATTTTGAGGAAGACATCTTGGTGACTCAGTATTCCACGCTCTGTTATCCCCGATAAAGCTCTTTCTGCTCTGATTTAAGTTCTGCCCCAGGGCCCAGTGCGGGCAGCCAACTGGAAGGTGCCTGCTAGACTTTCTATGAAAGAGGCTTATTTGCTTATCTTAAAATGGTTGGCTTGAGGGGCAAGCATTCAGTTTAGCACACATCTCGGGGTCTGCTACAATACTGTCCGGGAAGGCAGGCTGGCAGGCGCCATTCCCATGCTCTCCCTGTCCCTTGCTGAGATTGAGAAATCAGTGTGTACTCTCAAAATTGACAGTCCTACCCCTCTCGGCCTGTGCCTCTTGTCCCCGCGGCCTTGCTTACTGGCCTGACAACGCATTTACCCAACTAGGAACCTCAGGATCTCTTGACCTCATTCTGACATCCTGAAGTTCTCAAGTCCCTCCTGGTCTGTTCTAAATATTTCTTTTTTTATTCCCACAGCATTAGCTATCACCCTTTTGTCAGATTAGGTTTTCTCATCCTTGGCACTGTTGACATGTGGGGCCACGTAATTCTTTGTGGGGGCTGACCTGAGCATGGTGGGATGGCCGGCTGCATCTCCGGCCTGTGCCCACTAGGTAA